TAAACTTATTCCGGGCTTTCTTTCGACGGAGGTCGGTAAATTCGAGCGCCTAATTATAGAGGTGCCAGAGAGAACGCCTTCAACGCCTCCGTCGCCGCCGACCGCCTGCTTCTTCCCACGAGGAACTCCGGCGGGTGTGCTGGAGGAGGCACTTGGCTCACCACGAACTAAGAAGTTTCAATTTCCGAACATAGTCGCGGCACAACGGTGTTATTAATGCAATTAAGCAGGATTTCCTTCACACGATACGGCCTTGTTGACTACGCTGATAGAAAGTAATCGCGAGCGTCGCGCTGCGTCTTAACTCGCTGCCGGCGTGTCAAAGTACTCGAGCGGCGAGCTTGAAGAAAAGCTCGTCGAGTGACTTAGCCGCCGGCACGAGCGCGTCTTTTCGGCGAATTAGCTCTTACAGTCCGGTCAATGTTTTATATAGGGTATATTTTCGAAATTCGAGCTGTAGAACATTTAGAAGATAACTTCTATTCTCTCAGCTTTCATTGATCTCTCATAATTGCTTAATTCTCTCTTTGAAATTCGATAGATCGAGAAGAGCCGGTCGAATGTTACTTCTCAGGTCTATCCACGTTTCGGTAAATTAATTATAGCAATCCGGTCAATGTTTTATATAGAGTATATTTCTGAAACACGAATTATAGAAAATAATTTCTATTCTCAATTCTCATTAATCCCCTGTATTTGCTTAATTTTCTCTTTGAAAATCGATAAGTCTAGAAGAGCCGTCCGAATATTGCTTTGGAGCCACGTTGCAGCAAATTGGTCATTGCAATCCGGTTAATGTTTTATATAAAATATATATTTGAAACTCGGGAGTATAGAAAATTTAGAAAATAATTTATACCCTCAACTCTCAATGATCTCCTATATTTGCTTAATTCTCTCTTTGGAATTCGATAAGTCGAGAAGAGCCGTCTGAATATTGCTTCTGAGGTCTCTTTACGTTTCGGTAAATTAGTTTATTGCAATTCTGTCAATATGTTTTACGCAAAACATATTATTGCAACTCGAGTTGTCGACAATTCAGAAAACAATTTCTATTATCAGCTCCCATCGATCTCCTATATTTGCTGAATGCTCTCTTTGAAATTCGACAGGTCGAAGAGAGCCGTCTGAATATTCAAATCGCATGTTTCACCACCTGAAGAAAACCGGCGTGTCGTCTAAACACCTCCGCTGGCGCGACGTTAATTGCGCCGTTTCTTCGCAAGGCACACAAAGGTAAGTATGTTTCCGCAGGACAACAAGGACAATAGAGAAAGAAGCCCGAGGTGAAGCGGCGAAGTCGCCGGCGACGGCGCTACCTCAATTTCAGCTCCGAGCCGCGGCGACACGATGTTATTGATGCAGCTACACCACACCGTGCCGACGCCGCCGTCGTCGCCGGTGCAGTCGCATGTGCAATAATGCGAGTTTACTTTACTCCCGTATGCGTCGACGATCACAGCTTAAACGCGCGCTCGTCAACCCCTCCGCACCTCCGCCATCCGCCGCGATTACACACCTCTCTGCCGTCATATACCTTACTTCCGCGCGAATAGGGGCAGCACGTTGTTTTTCCCCACGTATCCGCAGCAATTAACTCGACATCGCGTTTGATTCGCGTCAAGTCACGACCGCTGGATCATTTTTCATTCGCGCTATGAAATGAAACTCGAGTTTCTCTCGAAAGAATCGAGAGATCGAGAGAGAGAGAGAGAGAGAGAGAGAGGTGGAGAAAGAACGAACAGAGAACGAGCGCTCGCGCACACCCGTTAAGAAGAAGAACGAAGACGACGGTGCCACTTGTTTTGGCGTCGTTTTCGCTAACACCGAGCCCTCCCGTACTCACCTCCTCGAGTTCGTGCTCCGTCTGCAAAGTGGGAAAATAGTAGCTTCGACAAGGCTCTTTCGGGAGCCCGAGCTTGTCGTCCGTGCGCGAGCGCGACCTCTTCCCGATTGGTCCCGCAAACGCGAGAACTTCCGCGGACGACACAATTCGGTTCTCCACTTCGCCGTGTCGTTTCTCACTATCGAAAGAAGGTATCCGGAGGAGAGAGCGGCGCAGGGCCGAGCGAGCGAGCGCAGACAATGCCGCGGGTGGCGAGAGTGGCTGGTTGGCTGGCTGGTTGGGCTAGCTGGCTTGCGCGACTTTGGCACGAGCATCACGTGCCGCGATAAAGCAACGTGCCGATCCGCAGTGAGAGCACGCGGGGTTGCTCGACCCACATTGCAACGGAAAGGTCTTTTTCGGGAGAGCCGAAACGTATCTCGCGGATTTAACCCCCCCCCCCCCCCC